CAGCACCTTCAGCTCTGGCTTTTTAATCCTTTCTGTTTAGAGACGAAGAACTAAAGCACTGTCCGTACAATTAAGATATGAGGTAAACAGAAGTTTACGATGCCTAATGAAATATAAACAAACCAGTAATTGTGCAATATTCGAAAATCTCTTTACAAAAATGAACCCTTTAAAGGTAGCATTTTACTAATTTGTCATTACACACAGACATTTGCGGTCTGTTATATTTTGAAAGGAAGAAACATTACATGCATTATTCAACCTGATTATTTTAAAAGTGTCACCTACCGACCACAGTGAGTTTTATTTCTTCGGTGTGCTGATGCGTTCTGTTCGTTATTGTAACTTTGTACTCTCCAGAATCTTCTTTACGTAGGTTGAAGAGCTGAAGACATCCGTCTTCTTTATTCAGGCGAAACATATTTTTTTTGGTGGGGTTATTTTCCTCGATTGCATTTTTATAAACAGTCTGCATTGTCTTATTATGATACCATAAAATCCTTGAAGGATTGAGAACTTGGGATCCGGAGGGTAAAGTCACGGTTTCGTTAACGAAGGCGGTGATCGTCTTTGTTGTCCCAACTGTTATTATGATAGAAAGAAAATAGGAAAAAGCAAACAGAGCGAATATATTTAAAGTATGTAATGGTGACTCATATCAACTAAAACTTTTGCTTTGGCATTTGAAGTAATTTCCTCGCTGTATGCGTCTGTGATTCTGGGGCGGATCTTTGCGCAGGCCGGGTGCACTTTCCATTCTGTTCACTAAAGTTTCGTGATATCACTCTGCCTGACATGTGGGGACTAATTAAGAACCAAATGCAGCCCAAAACTCCAGTTGAATGTTTCTCTGAGGTACAGAACCAGAATCCCTCCTGGGACATGAACTGGTAGCAAACTGTGTACTACTGTGTATATAAAGCAGCAGCCATGGAAGATGGAGGCACACAGTTTGTCTGGGGTATAAAGTTTGATGGGATGCCAATGTATCTCAGATACACAATAGGTACCTTAATTAAACCAGTTAACGTGACTGCGTGTCTGTGGCAGTGAGCCAGAGCACGAAGCAGGAAACACCGTCTGGCTCGGGGAGAGCATGTATCGTGTTTGGATGGTTTAAAACTGATAGCTAATTAAGATGTAAATAGTTTCAGCATTAAGAAGTGTGATCTGACAACATACAAATTAATTAGACCTTTTTTTCTTTAAACAAAGCAGTTTCTTTCGGTTTATAACATGGAAATTGCTGTAATCAAGTATAATCAGCAGGGAGTTCACTAGGCCTATTTTAGGGGGGGGGGGGGG